GCGTATTAGGTTGAGAAGAAAAAAAATTAATAGTGTATATTTCTTCTCAATCTAATACGTCGCGGGCTTGTTCACGTTCCGATTCCCCGGTATTTTGGGAAGCGGGGCGTGACAGGTTTAGTGGTGGCCCATGTAAGTCGCGGTCCCGAGTCCACACTAGTAAGAATATAATGGACGATTTGGATACATATCATATTTCATCCGTAAGACTACAATTAAGTTCTTATACTATTATCTTAATAACTATGTTTTAGCTCCTATCTACTAATATATTGTTTTGATTTTAACCTTAGTTTCTTTTGACCCTCGTTTTCCTTCAGAACCATGGCGATTACTCGTGGTAATGGTAGCCAGCCCAGTAGCAGTGCCCCGCCACCTGAAATGGAACCGCACCAGCTTTTGGAGATGAATCATGGATTGGTGGCGAATCAGCAGTTCTTGGCCGGGCACTTGCAGCGGGAGCCTCAGCACCAGCCTCCCCCTCGTCCAGAGTCTAGTGTTAGGGGGTTCCGGTGTATGCGGCCCCCTTCTTTCTCTGGTGCTGAAGGACCTCTAGCAGCAGAGAAGTTCTTGAAGGTCACTAAGACTATTCTCATGGTGATCCGTATTGCCCCTGCTGAATGGGTGGACCTTATGGATATTCAGCTCACCGACACCGCTCGGATTTGGTGGACTGCAGAGAAGGCTCATTTGGAGAGACCGATTTCGTGGGATACCTTCACAGACCGCTTCAATAGGAAGTACTTCCCTCAGTCGGCTCGGGACGAGCTTTTGCGGAAGTTTGTTGAACTCAAGCAAGGAGGTCGATCCGTTGATGAGTACGAGGCGGAGTTCTCTTCCCTTAGTCGATACGCTCCTCATCTTGTTACAGACCCTACTATTAGGAAGCATCAGTTTCAGAAGGGTCTAGACAAGTATATTAGGATGGCTCTGGCAGGTAGAGCTTTGGCGACCCACGATGCAGTACTGAATGCAGCACGCAAGATTGAGAGCGTACAGAAGGAACCTGAAGACCCGCATGTGATCCAGAGCACGACACCAGCAGCTCCGGCCCGAGATGACGAGCGTACACCTTCGAGGCAGCAGCAGAATCCGCAGCGACAGCAGTTTTCTCAGCGCCAACCACTTCCTCCTGTGCATCCCTATCAGCATCCTGGAGTGCAGACTCGCGACCGGCCTTCGGTGCAGTGTTCCTATTGTAGTTTCCGTGGGCATACCCATCAGGAGTGCCCCAAACGTCTTCGTCTGTGCTTCAACTGTAGATCCCCTGACCATGTCAACCGGGAATGTCCGCAGCGACACCACTTCCAGTTCGAGCAGCTCTTCCAGCTCCATCTCGGTCAGCCTCAGTAGATCCAGCTCAGCACAGACCTTATCCTCGAGCAGGGCTAACTCCTCCACAGCAGCAGGTTTATCAGGAAGCACAAATGCAGCAACCACAACGACAGATGTTTATGATGTCAGCTGTGAGAACTGAGGCGAACAACCAAGTTATCACCGGTAAGAATAGTTCATTCTTAGTTTTATTTGCATATGAACTTCCTTATTTCGCATTGCCTGATGATATTATGATAGAATTTGTTTATGAGTGCTAGCTTAGATGTATTTTTATCCTCCTATAATAGGCAAGGTTCTTGTTTCTTCCGTTCTTGCTTTATCACTCTTTGACTCTGGGGCTTCCCATTGTTTCTTGTCTCGTCGAATTGCGAGTACTCACTCTCGTTCCATATCTCTGTCCTTGGGTTTAATTCCGAGGACGGAATTTATTTTAAGGGGGGTAGGATGTAATGATCGTAAAAGTTGATACTAGTTAAAATAATTTTCTGGTATTTTTAAATATTTAATTATTATTTTTAGAAGAGTATTTGTATTTTTCTCGGCCTTATAGAATTTTTTATGATTTAAAAGTCCAAATTTTATATTTATTTAAATAATTTTAATATTTATAAATTTATTTTGTGCGGTAAGAATTTCTGAAATTAATCTGTTGTATTATCGGTACTATTACGTATTATTCTAAATAATACGTTGTATTATTATTACTGTTACGTACTATTTCGTGTATTATGTTGAATTATTAATTATGTATTATTTGTGTGAATTATTGTATTATTTTAACTATTTCGTATCAACTGTTGTATTAGCACAACAGGTAAGTTTTTATCTGTAGATAATTATTCCATAATTAGGTTAATTTTTAAAGGCAAAATGACCAAATTGGTATATTTTGTAGAGGCTTGGTGACATGTTGGTATATTTTCTTTTAGTTTTGTCAGATTGGTATAAATTTTTAACTCTGGCGCCGTATAGGCCTTAAATTTGGCCGGAGTTACTGTTCCGGCCAGGGCTGATGGAATTTTTTGTAAAAAACCCCCTCTTCAAATTTTTTGTTCTCTTGTTCATCTAAATCAAGGGTTTCTCAAATGGGCAAAGAGAGCCAATATCTCGAATCTTTCCCCGCCTGGGCCCTGTAGGCGTCAAAAAATGCTAATAGATATCCCAAACATAGAGAAGATCACTCAAAAATTCACAAGAAA